AATAATATAGTAGTATTATTATCATATTATAATAGCACATAATATAATAGATAATGTAATACTAGAATAATATAACATCATAATATAATTATAAAGTTATAATATAATTATATACTAATGCTATAACTGAGGAGAAGCAGTAGATTGGCAGTGAAATGAGGTTTTATCTCTGCATCCACCCCCAGGGCTGGCACCCTAACGGTGAGCAGACCCAGACTCACCGACGCACTCCACCAGCGTGATCTGGCGAGCCACCGTGCGCTGCACCAGGAAGGGAAGCCCAGAGCCGCTCCCCGACGTGCAGGAGTGGTCCAGTAAATCCTGTCAAAGGAAAAGAGGAGTTTGTAACCCGGCAGAAACCACATTTCCCCTGTTTAAACACACCACGGCACAACCACCGCATGGGACAGGGCAGGTTACAGCTCACTGCGTCTCCACGGCTCTGGTGATGCTGTTTGGTCACTCAGGACCACGACACTGTCCCTATCTTTTATTTGGCATTACAGCATCATTTTGTTTAGTAAGTGAATAAAAACCCAGTCCTTCTGTGGGAGATAACAGTCATGGGAAGTTCTGGCCAAACTGCTCAAGTTTGGTACAGTTATTTGTAACAAACCGGCTATAAAACAAACAAGTCCATAGGAGTGTTACCTGTGACACCTACACTGGGTGTGCCGTCGATGCTCCAGAAAATTTTCCATGACAAGACTTCCTAAAGGTTTTTATCAGTTTCTAGTATTTTTAGTGCATGGGAACCAACTTTACACTGCACGTTATTAAAAAATAGTGAGATTGCAACTGAAGGTTAAAACCCGATTGGCCTTTTACAAAGGAAACACCCAGCTACTTTGACAGCTGGGACTTCCGTACTGGTTCAAAGCATTAACAACTGATTACTGGACTTTGTTTTCTTTACAAAGGAATAAATAAGGATTAAAATAAAATAAAGGACAAAAAAAGCATAACATAATCACTTTTCTAATATTTCCAGCAAACTGCACTACTAGGCTTTAACCAGATCCGATGCAATCTCATTTCTCCTAATATTCCTTCAACGAGCACTCAAGAAAAAGATAATCTAAGAATGGCAGGAGATTGCTATTTTGCTTTTTGATACAAACTGAGAGCTCGATTTCCTTCCTGCTTGTATCAGACAGGAAAAAACCCAAACAAACCCAAACTTATCTGCAGCCACTGTAAAAACAAGATTGAGGAGGCCACAGCTCTTTCCACTCCTCATTAGGGAGCTCAGGGTTTTAGGGGTTTGCTGCAATATGGAGACTGATCCTAAACGTAAACTAATCTAATGTGTGACCAAAGCAGTGATTAAAGACACAATGGGGAAGAGAAATCTGGGATTTAGTGTTTAGGTGAGCACGGAGCACCAGGGAACCATCAGTATTTCACTGCACCACTGCAAGGGCAGAGCAGAGGCACTGCAGGGTGACAATGAGGGTCTGAGGACAAAACGGCTCCGCCAGGCCCAGCCCTTACAGTTCACAGCTTTTACAAAGAGTTCTGATTTATTAGTGCCGGGTTTTATCACGTTTCCCAGCAACACTGCACGACTTGGAGTGCAAAAGGCTTGCAAACGGAATGGAAATTGTCTTGCACTGATAAGAGACAAGAGCTGGAAGTCAGTGCTTAACGACAGATAACCAGCGGCACACAGGGTGAACAGATCAGAACCGGCTGGTTTAAAACAGGAACACAGAATTGAGCCTTGTGGGCTCATTAAAGAGCATTAAAAATAAATAATAAAGGATTACCAAGTGCAGTTTACGCAGCAGAGCAGCAGGAGGAAGCTGCTGACCCCACACTTGATCCCAGACATTTCATGTGCCAAGAGGGAGGCCACGTCCATCGCCCAGCTTACTGAAGCCAGCACTGAAATCCCAAAACTCTGCTACCAGAGCAGCTGTCCTAAGGTCCCTCGTGATCCATGCCTTGCCTCTGACTGCACCCAAAAGCAATGCCCCTCATTAGGGTATTATGAGTGGAGTGAATTGGGGTAGTGCACGTATAGGAGTGTGAGACGTGTGGAAGTATAAAGGATGTATGGAAGTATAAAGGTATAAAGACATGTGGAAGTATAAGGAATGTATGGAAGTATAAAGTGTTTCTCATTTCTTAAAACCCCTACTGCTCTTCTGTCACCAAAATCTCACTCATTTCCCAGTCATCTACATCAGCCCTTCTGCTGAGATCACGGGACTCAGATTGCAAGTTTTTAGAAGTTAAAAGTGTCTGTATTTCCTTTTTCCCCTAGCATCACATCTTTCCCAGTCCTTCAGGCTGTCTGTCGTATATCAAAGATGCAGCAGCACATCTACACCTTTCTCAACACCTGAGGCTGCCCAGCAATCAGACACCACTCCCAGGAACACTACAGGTTTGTACCAGTTCCCCAGGTCCAAGGGGCTATACCTCCAAAACCCGTCTTTGGGTAAATTTCAATTAAACTACGGCTTTGCAAGCACAGGAACATCACACGTCCTGCTGCTATGGCATCCTCTGGCAGCAACAGGTCCTGTACTGATGTGGCCACATCTGGAGGGTACAGGGGGAGTTTGGGAGCGAAGAAGGCTCTCTCACACACACCCTGCACACAGGTACTCACTGCCAACGTGCTGTCTCCAACGTTGGACGCGATGAGCCCCTCGATGGTGCCGTACTCTGCATCTCTCGAATTGAGCCTCTCCATGTGGTTTTTCTGTATCCTCCGGACGATCAGCACAGCCGCTGCAGAAAAGACTACCAACACCACGACGGGAGCCAGGATGACGATGATCAGCGTTTCCATGCTGTAACCCGCGGCTTCTCCTTGGAAGCTTTGCCCTTGGGAAGAGGAGGGGAAAAAACAAGAAAAAAATAAATTCGTGAATTCCCAGAGAAGTCTTTAAAAGCAGCAGCACCAACACCAACATCTCACTTGCTGGACACCCCATCTGAAAGAGGGGCTGCGACAGCCAGAGCCACGGGTGTGCACTGACATGAAGGGGCTACCGCAGCAACTGCCTGCGGAGCTGTCAGAGCAATCCCGTTCCCTAGAACAGCCCACTGTGGCTGTACCATCCCTGCAGCCCCAACCCTGGCCCTGAGAACAGCCCACTGTGATTGCACTGTTCCTTCAACCCCAACCCCGTCCCCCAGAACAGCCCACTGCGGATGTGCTGTTCCCTCAACCCCAACCTTAACTGCACACCTTGACCCCATCATTCACCCACCCAGATCACTCAATGTGGACACCAGATGCGTGCCAGAGGACCCCAGGGTGGGGAGCAAGGTCCTCCTGCACTGATTAAACCCTTCCTTTCGCTGGCACTGACATCACCTCACTCCCATCGCATCAGCTGAAAGCCAAACCTGTCTTCTGTCTCAAAATTCCCCATGTATTAAAGACCCTCACACCTTTGGAGGAAGGCAGCTGTGCGGTGATGTTCATGTTGCACAGGTATCCCTGGCAGCACTCAACAGCCTGGTCGGGAGAAGGAGGGGTTTTGCAGGTCATCTTCCCTTGCTCGTAGACCTGGAAGCAGCCCTTCTGGTAAACCTTGGCACCGTCGTTAATGCTGAGGGAGGCAAAGCACTGCTGGCCTTGGCAGCGGTCTCCATTCCCGCAGGACATGCCCTCACACACACATTCGTAGTGGACCATATTCGGCTTCAGCTCATCATCTGTAAAAGGGGAGAGTCGAGGAAAAGCATGGCATTTTAACAGCTTCAGATACACAGAGCTAATGAAATCACTGGATAATAAACCTATGCAGGGGAAGAACTGCCACTTGGGGCTGGTGCTGAACCACCAAGCAGGAGCTAACGACACTGATTCAGCGAGACAAAGATAGGAGCTTGCACCATCGGACAAACATCGGTCCTGTCTGCCACCCCAGACGCTCCATGAGAGCCCAGTGACATTTCACATCGTGGGAGGGTCACATACACAGAGACACTCAAAGGAAAAACCCTAACAGTGTAAATTTAAACAGCCACGTTACATTTCTATGTGGAAATGGTTATTCCCAAGCATTCCAGAAATGACTTTAACCCAAATTAAGGCCATTTAAATGCGCAGCGGACACGGCCACATGGGATTTGGCAGGTTTAGCTTGACTGTGAGGTCAATCTGCAGCAACTGTTGCCAGGACAAGGCTTGGAGGAGAGACCACAGAATACACAGCACAGCGAGCAGCAGCACAGGCACAGCTCAGACCCTGGGAAGGGCAGGACAAGTCCCTGCTCTGTGTCACACACACACACCCCTCTGTGCCACTTCAACTCGTATTCACATTCTGGTTTTCAGTCCTAACACACGAGAAAAACTTCCAGCCACAGACGCAGTGGATGCTCCTAAATTAGCAGCTGAGCATACCATGCGCTGGCCTTCTCCAGGCCTGTCATTACAGCCTGTCCTCTGGGAATGCAGCTCGGTTTGTTTTCCTCTCTCTCACAATGAACACACACACAAATATAATTCTCCCTATTTTAACCACCAAC